AGCTGGCAGGACCCTCTCAAATGTAGCCTCGGAGCTGCTCGTATCCGAGGCTTGTAGAAGACCATGTCACCGAGAGCGATGGTGTAGCCGAAGATCTGCAGGGCGGAGACCTTGGTGCCCAGATCATCATGGAAGCAGCGACGAGCATGACGTCCCTTGAGCACACCGCAGAGGGTGAGCACCAGGGAAGAGGTCTTGCCGATCTGTGTCGCCGTTGTTAGCGTTGACAAGAAAAAGGTGCGTTATGCGCAAGGGGAGAACATACCAGGAAAACGACAGAGACGTTCAGGAGGAACGCACACATGCCGTTGAGGAAGAAGGTGCTGAGGCCGACGTGGTAGACCTCGGCCATGGAGCAGCGAGGAATCTCCCAAACGAGCGCAACAGCGAGGTTCATGGCGGCGCAGATGGGCGCGAAGTAGTACAGAGAGACCAGGGGGTCCATCTTGTAGTCGGCCGAGCTCAGAAGGCGTTGCACCATGGTCAGACGCAGAGCCTCGAAGATGACACCGCCGATCTGGAAGATGACACCGACCCAGACAAACTCAATCTCGCCAATCGAAGCAATAATCACACCGACAACGATGACGGAAACATTGAGGAAGACCTTCATGTTGGGCGTAGACACGCCAAGCGACCAACCGGCAAGGAGGACAGCAACAGGAGTAGTAGCCTATCGAGAAAGAACAATCAGATAAGATCTCGGACAAGGCCTGTCGATTGCATCTTCAAGTGGAAGAAGTCTTACCTTGAGCATCTGGATGAAGGCGACAGAGAGGTAGAGGTAGGTCAGGTTGCCGCAGATCAAACTCAAGCTGAAGAAGAGGCCGATGGGGACAATGGCCCGCACGTAGACACGGCCGGTCATCTTGACCGTCTTGCGGCCGTCAAGGAGGTGAGTCCATCGAGCGAGGATCTGGGTCATGAGGGTAGCGAAAGAAAGGTGGTAGGTGGTCAGGATGACAGGGTAGCCTGGAGGGGGGTTTTTTGCGTTAGATCAATTCACGCTGGCGATGAAGGACATGCTGTGGAGGGAGGAGGCTCACGGAAGTTGAGGGTATCGAGGATCCATTTGTTGAAGAGAATGACGGAGGACGAGAGGGAGATCCAGACACTGCAGGCGTTGCACCGTCAGCCATTGTTCATCGCCGTGGCACTGTGGCCTTTTTCGCTCGCGGTGATTGCTCGAGATACTCACATGACGTAGAGGGCAGGGTGAATGGCGTTGGACTGAGCCTTTTGTTGCAGCTTCTCGGCTTGGGCATTGTTGGTTGGGAGGATGGGG